CGCGTTGCCTGTATGTAACTGATGGGAAAGTTGTTCAAGGGTGATTTTCTGTCTAGATAAACAAATATCTGACGATGTAATTGGAGACATGTCGTACGTGAAGTAGCTATTTTCTTTGAAATTAGATAAAGTCTTTTCGATCACCAATCAAGTAGATTCCGCCACACCATCCACTCTGGACTTCGTTTCGGATCGGACAAAAAAAGGGCGCACAGGAAGACGCTACGTTTTCTATAATGTTCTTGCATGCAAACGAAAATGGAAACTTTTGCGGAAACAGAGGAAGACCAAGATTCACTTCGAGATTAAACAGACAAAACGCAATATAGAAATGCGAAAGAAAATCCCGCCATATAGAACCGCATAGTAACGTAATAAAAACTTTATTATTATTATTATTATTATTATTATTATTATTATTATTGTTATTGTTGTTGTTATTATTATTATTGATATTATTATTATTGTTTTTATTATTATTATTATTATTATTGTTGTTATTATTATTATTATTATTGTTATTATGATTGTTATTGTGGTTGTTATTATTTTGCTATTATTATTATTGCTATTATTATTATTGTCATTATTATTATTATTGCTCTTATTATTGCTATTATTATTGTTGTTATTATTATTATTGCTGTTATTATTATTATTATTGTTATTATTATTATTGTTATTATTATTGCTGTTATTATTGCTATTATTGTTATTGTTGTTGTTATTATTATTACTGTTATTATTATTATTATTATTATTATTATTGCTGTTCTTGTTAGTGTTGTCGTTTTTGTTCTTTGTTATGTTTTGCCTTTGCTTTGCACCCAATTCTTAAGCATTGACTTCTATAGACAAGTTTTTTGCATTAGAAAATGCAAACCGATGAGGTGCCATGCAATCAGGGATAAAAATATAATTGTGGTCACTGAACAGAGAGAAATGAGAATGACTCATAAGAAGGATTTTTTTTCCAATTCACACATTTTAGAGCTACCATAAATTTATTCCGCATAATCGTTTTCTCTTTTTGATACCATTTCCAAAGACTCCATTAATAATAGGCAATGTTTTTGTCTTGAGATTATCACATTCTACTGATATCTATTTTGAAGTATTTTTATTATTATTATTATTATTATTATTATTATTATTTCCTTTGGTTTCTGGTGCATACTCATTTCTTTCCGGGTGACGACCAGAGTCCGAAGGTTAGAAATGGCATAATGAGATTTTCCACTGAGTAGTTTAAAAAACATTATTATTTTATTTAGGTGTCTAGTTACCAAGTCCCCTCTGGGGTCTACAATTAAAAAAACCGTTATAGGAAAGTTATGTATCCATATTTGGGCCGTTTTGTTTAGATGGAAAAGGTTTTGCGGGTGATATGCGCAGTTCTAAACGAAATTTATCTGTTGTAACTCTGAGGTACGAATATGTCCAGAAATTTTACTCACGTGATTTCCGGTACCCTTCTTTATCATACCCAATGACCCCATCACAACAGGAATAATCGTAGTTTTAAGTTTCCACATTTTTGTTATTTCGATTTGCAGGTCCTTATAAGTTGACAGTTTTTGACTCTCCTTTTTAGAAACATTGAAACCTGCGGGCAATTCCTATCGATTCGTTGACAAGTTCCTTTTTTTATGAATATCTCTGGTTTATTTGTTTTCAAATTTCTGTGAGGAATGGGAAATTCCAAAGTATCCTCACTCCATCACCATTTCTGGCATTATTATTATTATTATTATTATTATTATTATTATTAAAGGGTGAGAGATCAGAGCGCTAACAAAGTGACGATTACAAATATATGAAGCCCAGTAGACAGATCATACCAGCCATTCTGATAAGAGTATACCAGGCACATGCACCACAGCCAAATGTGTGCGATATGGTGAGAGGTTTTGATAGAAGCAGTACATAACCTTGCAGGTTGGGCTCTGTTAGAAATACTTTCAGGTCGGGTAAACCTGTTCGCGCAGAGATTTTCTGACTAAGGCTGTTCTCAAGTATCTTAATGTCATGCCCAAGTCGCTTTGGCTGACTCATCCTTCAGACAATCCTCTCAATATTCCCGCTCATGGACAGAGCATCAGTCCCTTAGGGAGATGCCAAAATTGTTAAGGCCAGGCAACTGATAAGCAAACCTGTGTTATTGTATAAGATATTTACTGTAGCCCATCTGAATTCACTAATACAATTATGTACCTGATAAGAACTCTCAATCTGTTATTATCAGAAGCCATGAGAGCCTGGTCTGGTATTATTATTATTATTATTGTTGTTGTTATTGTTGTTGTTATGGTCCGGTTCCTTGAACTACGGTGATAGTTCAAGGTAGAACCAATAAAGAAGAACTCGAATACGAATATGGAATAACACAGATATATTACTAACAGGAATATATACAGAGAAGTAGAAAGTGTTAGTACGAACAATTAGGTCTAGTAGTAATTGTCTGAACGCGAATCTGTTTCGGTCTGCCTCTGACTCGACTGACTGACTCGCTCGCTCTGACTGACTGACAGACTTCTGACAGAACTCACTCCAGACTTCAGACTGAACTCCAGACCCCAGACGGAACTCTCTGCTTCCTCTTGAGGCGCACTATTTATTACGTATGGAATAGTCCATTGTGTTATTATGGGTAAGGTCCCATAACAATTTCAATAGTGTTTTCTTTTTTATAAACCATTACCCTAATTCTTATTTCATGTATACATGTAAATACTATCTACGTGGACATTATTATTATTATTTCCTTTGATTTTTGTTGTATAAACATTTCCTTCCGGGTCCCAACCACTCAGGGACCTAAGGTCACAAATAGTTTTATAACATTTCCCACTGTTCATTTAAAAAAAATAAGATCACACACCTTTTACGTAGATAAGACTCTTCGTAATGTGTATGCTGTACAATTTTTAGTATGGGCGACTAGGCATCCCTTCAGTGAGTATATCTAGTTTTCTATTATTATTATTATTATTATTATTATTATTATTATTATTATTAACACCGAGGAGTCTTTGTACATTTTCAAAGTCTTAAGTAGCCTTATTATTTTCATGATAGCTTGGTAATTTCTTTATTATTGTTATTATTTCCTTTGATTTCTGCTGCATATTCTTTTCTTTCCGGGTTCCAACCAGAGACCTAAGGTCAGAAATGGCTTCATTGTATTTTCCACAAAAAAACTGACATCACACACATTTTACATAGATAAATCTCTTCGTAATGTTTGAGCTGTACTTGTGAGTACATTTTTCGTATTTCTTTAAGGCTTGGACTATCAGGAATCTCTTCAAAGAGTCTATCGGAACCTTTTGCAATCCATCGCTCCAACTACAACCTTTTTACAATCGAAGGCTTCATCTACAAATGGAATTACTGATGTCCTCATGTACCACAATTTTTAGATTTCCACTTCAAGATCTTTGTAATTTTTTTTTAAAGATTTTCAAAGATACATTACAATCTACAGGGGCTACCATGCCAATAAGAAAACACATTCTCTTCTTGAGGTCTTTGATCACTATGGCTGGGAGATTAGCTTTCATTGTTCTGTCTATGTCTATTATAAAGTACCATAAAATTGTTACAGGTCCTATCACTGTAACCAGGTCTGGGTAATGTTCAGGCCAGTTTCTTGTATTTTCATGGATTTCTGATGTATACACATTTCCTCCCGGGTCCAAACCAGAGACCTAAGGTCAGAAACGTCTTCATGACATTTTCTACTGATCATTTTTATATATAAAAAAAAAATAAGATCACATACATTTTACATAGTTAAAGCTCTTCGTAACTTTTGGGTTATATTTGTGAGTACATTTTTTTTCTTTAAGGCTTAGAATACCAGGAATCTCTTCTTCACTGAGTCTATCGGAACCTTTTCCAATCGATACGAGGGCTCCAACTCCAACTGGAATTATTAATGTCCGCATGTGCCATACTTTTGAGATTCCCACTTCAAGTTCCTTGTATTTTGATAGTCTTTTTTGAAGATCTTTCTAGACACATTACAATCTGCAGGGACTGTCATGTCAATAAGAAAGCACATTCTGTTTTTGTTGTCTTTGATCACGATGTTTGGGCGATTAGCTTTGATTGTTTTGTTTGTGTGTATTGTAATGTGCCATAAAATTGTTACAGTTCCTATCTCTCTAACCGGATTATTATTTAATTCCTACCTTTTGGCTCTATTATCTAAATGCAGCACACAAAAACCTAGCCAAAGAGCTTCAAGAAATGGTCAATGATCCTACGAAAATTCTACAATTATTATTATTATTATTTTCTTTGATTTTTGGCGTTTACACATTTCTGACCGGGTGCCGCTCAGGGACCTAAGGTTAGAAATGGCATCATGACACTTTCCACTAACAAAAGAAATACTACATAGATAAAGCACTTCGTAAAGTGTGGGCTGTATTTGTCAGAACAATTTTTTGTATCTCTTTGATGCATGGACTTCCAGGAATCCCTTCAATGTGTCTACTAGAATATTTTCCAACCAGTCCTAGGGCTCCAACTACAACAGGGGTTGTTGATGTTCCCATGTGCTAAATTTGTGAGATTTCTATATTATTATTATTATTATTATTATTTTACATATAGGTCCTTATTATATCCCGTTTTATGTAACAGCTGTCTGGTGGTTATCTATGAGTTGAGAGACAATCTCTTCAGAGGCTCAGTACATTTCTCAGTATCCTAGCAGACACCAATTTCTATTTATTGGTCTTTAGACCCAGTTCTAATTACGTCAACTCATATAGACACGACGGGCAACTCATCCTGGTGTAATACTTAGAGAGCTACTCTGATTAACCATTACCAATTCTCAGTGGATTTCTCATACTATTGGCCTTGTGCCATACTAATTAAGCAACAGAAACTATAAACTCTGATCTAACTTTCTCCTTCCATAATTTCCAAAGTTCTCTTGCGAGATGTCTTACTTTTTCTTTCGTTTTCACACTATGGTGGCTTACGGCTCTATCACGCTGAAACATCGATTCTCGTTCGATCACCACAGTTAAGCAACATCGAGCCTGGTCAGTACATAGATGGTTGACAGCTTGGGAATACCAGGTGCTGTAACCTTGAGTGTACGGGTGGTGTATTGGATAATTGCTCGGTATTGTGAATCGGAGGGCCGAGTTCCAATTCCCATTGGGTTCGTTATATTCACCTACGCACAAATAATCTTGGAAAAGGTATGAATCTACCTATTCTCCCCTAGCTATGGGTTAATTAGTCAAACTTCTGTCACTAAATCATTATTATCTAAAAAATATAATCTTAGAATCTAAAAATATTTCCTGGTTTAAAATAACTTCCAAAGGGTTGATAAGCCGTAAAAACAATAATAATAATAATAATAACAAAGAAGACATTATTCCGAATATAAATAAAGTTAATATTTTCTTGGACACTACTTTATCTAAGTTCTATACAGCTCACAAAATAAAATCATTGAGCAATTTTAACAAACTAATGATATATGTTCAACAGATTGATGACATATTTGTATGAATGAGATAGATGGAAGCCAATCTAGGAAATGAAAAAAAATTCTTGTATAAAAAAAACATATCGTGAGGGGTTAACATTTCAAGTTGCTATTTGGTACGAGTAACTTGTCGTGGCGGAGGTCGAAATTCTTTAAAGATTCTTGTGTATGAACCATTTTAACAATTGTCTCGACGTACGTCACTCTCATCAAAATTGTCCAGTGCCAGAAAAAAAGAGGAGACTGATAAAACATTTGTCCGAGTATAAATAATAATTACACATAGATAGATAGATAGATAGATAGATCTGAAGAAACCGAGAAAGATCTGAACTTAGCTGAACAGTAGATAGATAGATAGATAGATAGATAGATAGATAGATAGATAGAATTATTGATTAATTTTTTTAATGGTCTCGTTTAACCCACACTTGTTCCTTCAATGCTTCCCAAAGGAATTCTTATTTGGGCCACCGCCGTTTTCGTGCATACTTTGGCTTCTCTAGATATTGGTAAACGAAAGAAAAACATCTTCTGTCTCATATTTTTGTTTAACAAAACTGAAGGAATGATAAAAAAAACAGAGCGAAAAAGAGAAATTTAATGAGTAAAAGGCATTTACGCCACTACATTGATTTTTAGCTGTGATTTTTATTCATATTGACGCTGCGATAAATAGAAAATAAAGTGCACATCACTAAAGAGAGAACTCTCCCAATAGAGGAAAAAGAAACAAAGAAAACAGTCGTTCATCTGCAAAAATTGATTTGTAATGCGCTTTATTAAAAGACCGTAACAGCTCCAAATACCAAAGAATCGCTAACTTCCGTTTCGGTAAAGAATAAGTGCAAATCTTTTTAAGAAGTACACAGTAAAAAACTTTTATTTTTATTTTATATATATATATATATATATATATATAAAGATAAAAAGTTTGAAGGTGTGCTATATTTATGGGATAAAGTGCTCAATATCACAGATAGAGCGTATAAAATAAATATAAAAGTGAACATTGAAGTCAACACTCAGAGGCGACAGGCTGTTTCATGCTGGACTCAATCGGGAGGCCGTCTGACGATTGCGCCTAGCATGAAACAGCCTGTCACCTCTGAGTGTTGATATTACATCAAAAACATGTCAAAATCGTTATCAATGCATCTCATCAGGTGATTGTAAATTACTGGCGAGTGAACGATTTAATCAGATTTAAAAGCAAAATACAGCTTATTTTGCCGAGGTAATTGTGAATTTCCCTCTTATGTAATTTATATGCTCTGTTATAATAAATACATGGAGCTCTTTTCTTGGATTTGTACGACTATAGTTTCGCTGGGTAGTTCCCGGCTCTTTCGGACACAGATCTATGTTGTTGGAAGTAAACAAATGGCTCATGAGAGCTTCTATGAGACTGCTACGTAGCACAAAAAATAAAATTGGACAGAGGTGTGTTAAATGCGATTCTGGTGTGTTACTGATATGTCCCGGAAAGGGATATATTTGAACGAAGTAGCTAAGTGGTTTTGGCTACTATAACCAAGTAGAATATGGTAGCAGTAATCGATTGGTACGCGTCGTAGTTGCAGGTAAGAAGTGTACATCAATGGCGTAGTCCAATGGGCGTCGTTATAGACTTAGCTCTCAGACGAATGCTTTCCTCTCTGTCGTACCTACAAGTCCGTCGGTATTTATGAGGGACATCAGCCAATCATATTCCAGTGAGGGGGGAAACAGGTATATATATATTACATTATATATATATATATATATATATATATATATATATATGTTATGTCCCGGAAAAGGGATATATTTTGAACGAAGTAGGTAAGTGGTTTTGGCAATGGGCGTCGTTATAGACTTAGCTCTCAGACTAAGGCTCTTGACTCTCCTACACGTCCGTCGGTATTTATGACGGACACCAGTCAATCACATTCCAGTGAGGAGAAATACAGGTGTATGCATATTCCATTATATCAGTTACATTTTTCTAGAATATTACCAAAATGTGAGGTGAGTAAAAAAAAAAGTATAAGTGAAAAAATTGATGACAAATTTCAAATTAAAGACATTGCATTCTCGTAGTCAGTAAACCGTTACAGGTTAAAAAGTGGTAAAAAACTGAAAGTAAAATTAGAAATAAAAAAAAGTGTGTAAATGAAGGTGGCCATAGGGAGAAAAAGGCAATGCTAGGGTCGTTGTTGTAGATTTGTTATAGTGTCGTGAACAGGTTAAGTTCGGGTATGGCACCTATATCCTAATAATGGGGGTTTGCTATTTGTCAGGTTTCCAATATTTTAAGATATACGATTTTTTATGCCTACATGCTATGATTAACTCAGTCCGTTTATTAAATAGGCCTGGCGTATTAATGTTTTTGAGGATAAATCTTTTCTCTAATAAACAAAAATCTCATCGTCCCCCTCCCTTACCGGAAAAATATTTGGCTTGTTCTATGAATTCCTATTTTATATTAGGTGTGTAGTCATTTGTTTTAATATTCCAGTAGAACTTAGAGAGTGCTATGACGTTTGCATATTTTTTGTTGTTGAGTGTCATCTTGTGATGATGAAAACGATTTATTCCAATTGATAGCGGTGGATCCGAAATAAAATTTGGTCTGGTCATTGTGCGTGATGCTAGCCTTATATATAATTCCTTTACAGATGCATTTGCCGTTCATGGGGCAGAGATCACGGTTGCGGCAATTGCATGTCTGCTTTCCGGACTACTATTTCTACTAGTGTTGTTTAAGTATGTGTTAAAGATTACATTATTATGCAGAGTTACATACACTTCAAGGTTTTTGGTGCAGCTGTAGCTAACCTTAACGTGTGCCGGACGTGTGCTGGGAAACAAACAGAAAAACTATAGTCGCACACCAAAACGTAGGTACATGTATATGTATATAATTAATATATATATATATATATATATATATATATGGGGGGTATTTAGGCTGCATGTCTTCATTCAAACATGTTTGGTTGAACAATCTAGACATATTATGATTATTTATTTTTATTTTAATCCTCTCAAATTCTCGAATCAAGTTCTTAGTGTTGTCATAATACTGATTATGAATGACGCCTTAGATTTTGGCCAATCTTTTATTTTCCGAAGTACTGCAGTGTATTGGGATACTCAAACTGTAAAAAAAAATTAATTAAAAGATGAGTATCTTAAATCATTAATCATAAAAAAATATAAATGAACTTATCTCCTTGCATATTCTTAAGTGTTCATTTGTGATTGACTATAACGTAACGCGTTTCATGCGTATTTGCAAAAAAATCACAGTTATCAATTACATTATTTTTTTTGGTTGTTGTTTTAGGAATTCACATCTGAAATACCTGGGAAAACAAAAGAACTAACCAAAACTACGGCGAATTTCTTAATAAGTTTAATAACATATTGAGAAAGTTTAATAACTAAGAAATTAATCCGTGATTTAGTGAGGGTTAAAATAAATAGACAAAATATATATAGATTATTCAAAGAAACATATATATATATATATATATATATATATATATATATATATATATATATTTACTTTACTTGATTTATTCTCTTGTTTTTACTCATTTTCTTTTTACACTATTTCTTCTTTTACCTTCTTTTTTTCTTCATTTTTTCCCTTTCCCTCTCAGAGGACAGCTTTCTCTTGTTCGCATGATTTGTAGAAGTATTTTGTGTGTATTTGTGTGTCTGCTTGTGTGTATTTATGTGTGCGACTCTGTGTATGTATTTTTGTGTGTGTGCATGCATGCATGCATGCGTGTGTTTATTTTATTGCTATTTTCTGTGTACAAAACGAAAAAGAAAGAAAAAATTTTCTTGCTTTCAGTGTATGATTGAGTAGATCGTGGCGTGGCCTGGGGGCGCTAATGCTACACACATTCAAACACACACACGCACACACACACATACATATATATATACACACACAAACATAAACACACACACACACACACACATATATATATATATATATATATATATATATGTATATATATATATATATATATATATATATATATATATATATATATATATATATATATATTGTTGTATGGTTATTTTGTAACCCTGGGTTTCATCAGAGCTTATCTCATCAAACAGTAAAAGTACCTGCGTATATAATATATATAGAAATTATATATATATATGTGTGTGTGTGTGTGTGTGTGTGTGTGTGTGTGAAACTATATGGAGCGACGATTTTATGGGTAAGAAGTTGATGTGAAGAATCGTGGCTAATATTGTCAAGTGAGAGTGCATTAGTTTTGTATATTCTGCCATTCAAAGTCGAAATGGAAACAATTTATATTTCCCGCGACCTTTTGCTGCCGAAGATCAGCAAAGAACGAGCTTGAAAGAGAATGAGAAAGAAGAGAGAAAGAAAAGAAAATGGTAGCCTGCCTCGTGGTAGGTACGAACGCCTATAACAGACGGGGTTTCCAATGTCTCTTATTTAGATGAGCAGCCCAAACCCGTAACCAGAAAAACTGACGTAACACTATCTTTTTCTTTCCAATGACTTTCTTTTTTTGCCGTCTTTAAATGTTAATCGCAGCTTAGTGAG